TAAGCATTCAGTTTTAATGTTACATAGTTTAAATTCCAGATTGGAATGCAGGCCTTTTACTTCAAAAAGATATGAGAAGGGTTAGGAGCTTTGGAAGAGATAGCTGTTAAAATACAGTAACTGCATGTGCCATGTGTTAGAATCACAGCAGGTCTTGTTTTGTTTTTTTGTATATTTCTCCAGTTATACTCTCAATCATAATGAGATAAGGTGCTGCAGTTGTAGTGCCTTATGTTTCTAATTCTATGATTAGAACTAGAAATACAGAATTGTATGAATTGGAACAGACCTTTAGAGGTCAGCTGGTACAACTCCCCTGTAGTGAACAGGGACATCGATAACTAGATAAGGTTGCTCAGAGCCCTGTCCAGCCTGATCTTCAGAATGTCTCCAGGAATGGGGCATCCACCATATCTCTCCGTGCAAACTGTTCTAATACTTCACTACCCTTATCATAAAAACAATCTTTTTCCTTATATTCAATCTAAATTTCCCTTCCTTTAGTTTCAAACTATTTCCCCTTGTTTTATCACAACAGACCTCCTTTCTTATGGCCACCACTTACATATGGAAAGTTCACTATCAGGTCACCTCAGATCCTTCTCTTTAGGCTGAACAGCCCCAGCTCTCTCAGCCTGTCCTTGTAGGACAGGTTCTCCATCCCTTCGATAATTTTTTGTGACCCTACTCTGGATGCACTTCAATACATCCATGCTTCTCCTGTACTGAGGTTCCCTACATAGTGATACGACTCAAACTATATTAAAGCTAAATGGCCCAATGAAGCATCTCTTATGCTTCTTAATATCTCCCTGACAATGTGATTACTGATGGTCAGTGTCAGAATAGGTGTTACAGCTAGAAATATTATTGTGGTGAAAATAGGAAAAGAAACAAACAGGGAAAGAATGCTCACCTGTATCCAAAGATCTAGGTTTGCAGAAAGGACTTCACAAAGGAGGGATCTCTAGAAAAAGATCCTTCCCAGGTGGCATTCAGCCCTTATGTGTGGTCCAGGAGAGGTGCAGCCAGGCTGCATCCCTTCCAGTCACACAGATGAACTGCCTTCACCTGTGCTCCCACAGCTGACCCAGTCCTTTCCTCAGGTGATCAATCAGTGGTTCAGGCCAGGACTCAGCAGTTCCCATACAGTGGGTTTTAAAAATAGCTGTTGTAATTACACTTGTAACCTAGTGAGGTTTTCCATGTAAGACGACAGGAAGGAATCTTGTATAGACATACCTAAAATACATATTGATGTGACTTTTAAGCACTGTAATAATAATACACATATTTGTATGAAATTTTTTCTAGTAACGTCTGAAAAAGAAGTTCCTCAGCAATCCCAAATGCCCATGCCCATTACTTGTGGTGGTGGCAGTGGTATTGTGCAGAGCACACAAATGCTTGTTTTAAAATCTGAACAAGTTAAGCTGCAGAAAGAAAACTTGCACCTGAAGAAACAAAATGATATTCTACTAAGGTAAGCATCATTAAGTAATTATCACAATTTCTTTCTAGGAAACCCATAGAATTGAGTAACTGCTCATCTTAAGATGCAAAAGAATGTAGCAAGTCTAAACTTTTATTAAAAGCTAGTGATGTTATTTGTGTGTATGTACCCATTTATGGCTTTTGAGCTTTCAATTACTTTCTTCCATAAGAATTTGTTCTAAATGTTTATCAGTAACTGGAAGATGAACTTAGTCAAAAATGTATACGATAAAATTGTTGGAAGGAATCTTAGCTTAAAAAGAAGGAAAAAAAAAAAAAGCCCACAAAACTTTGTACCTCTAGAACCGATACATACATTTGGATATCATAGGAGGCTTTTATTGCCTTGTCTGTGATATGTCATCTGAAGATGTAGGAACTGTCTTGTCAAGATTTTTTATCTTTTTACTTCAGAGAACAACTGAAGGCTTTTATTAATTAAATGCTGGAAATTTTTTTTTCCCTACTCAGTAATGAGCTTCAACTGAAGGAGGAACTTAGAAAATGGAAAGAAAGAGCGCTAAAATTGAGAGAGCGATTCTCAAGAGAGACTACTCAAGAGACAGTACCGAGATCTCCAAGGAAGACAGTGTCACGTTCCCTTAGAGAGCCAACTTCACCCTCCAAGGAGTCTGTATCTCAGGAAACTGTAACTCAGTACATATCAAAGCCTCTGCCACTGACATGTCCAACAAACTTCTTTGATAATTCCAACTTGGGTACACTAATAGGTATGTAACATGGTGGTGTCCTATTAAAGTTATTTAGGAGAGACAAAATATAAGGAGTGGTCTTTGAGAGTAGATGTCCTGTGCTTTCCCTGATCAGACCTGAAACATAGAGAAGCAGCTTTTTTGAATGTCTATTCAGCAGATTGTTAAAGGGCTGGACAACTGGTGCCAAGATTATCCATGCTCTACATCACCTAAATACTTAAGACACATACCTCCTGAAGATTAGGCAAACTTATTTCTTTTGTTTCAGTGAAAGTGCTGGTGACCAATCACTTTATAAAGTGAAGAGGCAGAATATCGTGTCAAATGATGCTCTAGAATCTTTTGCTTTTTAACTTTACATGAGTTAAACATACGCTTCTGACAAAACTGATTTTCACAGACTGCTACCATCTATTCAGAGTTAACTGCTGGCTGGCTTCTTTCTAATATTTCTTTATTGGGATTATCAATTTTTGATCTTGGATTTTGAATTTGCCAGCATCGCAGTCTCTAGCTGCTGTAATAGTTGTTTTGATATTTTCTGATATTTCTTATTACTAGACTGGTGACGTCTGGGAGGTCTAGTGATTTTAGCACATTAGTGCTACTGCCCTCATCAACCTGCTTCTAAAAGCTTTCATGAGGCCCCAGCAGGCATGCTGAAGACTTTAACAACAATTAGACTGACAGACTTGCAGGAAGAATGACTCATTGCCATTTTTTGTGAAGTCCATCTTGGTAATAGTATAGCCTTCTTCACAGCACCATGCTTCTCAGTGGCAAGCTTTGCTAGCTGACATGTAAAACTAGTCAAGAATAAATTGCTATGTTCCTACTGCTTGTCTAATTGGGAAAATGTCACTTTAATTTTCTTATTTTCTGTACAGATACACAACCTGCAGGAAGAGAGTCCACAGAAGACCATCTTAAGAAGTGGTTTGAAACTTCAGAGAAAGATAAAGCCTCTGATTGTAATACCCAATAGAGGACTTCTGTTGTTAGCTGCCTTTACAGTGGTGACAGTCAGAATCTAGCTACACGGAAAATGGTTGCTTCAGGTTAAAGCCATCTATTGTGAGAAGAACTCTGGTGGAATGCCAGTCCCTTGTGTTAAAACTACTACTTCCCAGAAGTGGAAAAGCTTTAATACAAGAACAAAAATGGAAAAGTAGACATGTTACCTGCAACCTGCTGATGATGTTCTCCTTTGGTTGTTTTTGTTTTGTGTAGCAAAGAAAGTAAAGCTAACGTACTGAAGAAAAACAGACACAAGAGAATGGGTCACAAACTGATCTACTGTGAAACTTCTTGATCTTAAACATCTTTGGCATTTTTGTAACAGTCCTCTTCTGGGTGTTTGTATCTACTCATTAACTTTGTTTCCCAACAGATGGTTTTTATTCCTATGAGTTAATATTTTTTTCTTAAGACTACATTTTCACTGCAACTTTAACCTCTTACTTTGGATATTGCAACTAAATTTATTAGATTTCTTTTTGTAGGGTTTCTCTTAAACTCTTGAAAATATTTCTGCAGTTCAGTAAACTATGGTGCAAAAATAACTTGTTTTTCTCGTCATCTTTGAATATACTTCATTTCCTGCTTGAAGTTGGGTTCTGGAGTTTTTTTCAAACAGTAAGCAATCGATCTAATAGACACTATCCTGTTGCTATTATGAGTTGAAAATAAAACTGGACAATTGGGGTCGTAATATGGACTATATTTTACTATCCTACTCATCTGAATTTTGAAGCCTATTTTAATGTTCTGTATGAAAAGGTTTGTTCTGACAAACTTTCAATGTGTTAAGTATCTAAACACTTCACTTTTGTGGCGATGTGACGCTATGATCTGGGGATTCTGATTGTAACATTCAGTGTCTAAAGAGTTGTTTTCTAGTAATCAGCGCACTTCTACCATCATGTTTCTTGTTTGTTGTAGTATCTTTCTGCAGATTACTAATCACAAATCTGTGTCATCAGTGTTTTGCTTAATTCTTTCTCTCTGAGTCTTTGTCAGGAAGTATTGGAATAGATCCTCTCCTCCTAACTGGGAGAGATTTGGCATGCAAAATTTGAGTTTTTGAATTTGAGTATTTGAATTTCTAAAATTTTGACTTGGAATGCATATCAGCAAGCTTCAGAACCTGTGTTTTCAGCTAACAGTCTTTAAATACAGTTACTAAATTCAGCGTCTTACCAGAGTCGTAAACATGCAGGAGTATCTTATTTCCCTGACTTAAATAAATGCAAGTAGCTTGGGTTTTGGAGTGGTTTTGAGATAATTTTATATTTACAATTTCAAATTATTTATTTAAAAAATATATTTCCTTTGTTTATCACAGTTTTTCTTCCATTCCTCTTATTCTGCTTCATTAAAAAAAATTTTAAAAAAATTCAACCGTCTTTCAGAAGGGAAGAAGGCATATCTGGGACTATAGTCTTGTGTTGCTTTTTGTTTTGTTTTTTCTTTTGTTTTTGTAGGGTTTTTTGTTTGCTTTTTACAGTTTCAAGATACTTTATTAATAGCTTGCTGGAATACTAAAAGATTTAGAGATTTCTCTTGTGCTTGAGCTGAAAAACAAGAATGTACTGCACCCGGTCTGTCTCAATTCAGTAGACAAAAAGGTGGGAGAGGAGGATAAATGCTTTTTAAAAACTTAATCTTTTTTTTTTTTTTTGAGGCAGATGAGTTTCAAAGCCTTAGTTTTTGGTGAATATTCTATTGATCTCTTGCATTCTCTAGGAAAAAAAAGATAGCTGAGGTTTATGATCCTTCTTTGTCCCTACACTGTGCAGAAGAAAATCATGCTTTAAAGTTTTGAGTTTCACTAGATGGCAGCATATTCGTGTTTCAACAGGAAATTACTCTCATACAGAGAAACTTACCAGTTAGACTACAACTCCCAACAAGCACAGCTCGAAAGTCATTAGACTTCCTTTTTTACAAAGGTCACTCAGCATACCAAGCTGGCTGAGATCTTTTGGTGAGTGACTATGTTAATCTTTATTTTTAAGAGCTTCATAGAAATTAGTATGTCAAATGTTCATAAAAACTCCTTATCAGATCAAAAACATGTTTATAAAGCATTTTGCATCTAAAATGGTAGGGTGATTTGAGGAAGTACTGCAGCTGATCGTTGTTGGTTGTGGTTTTGTACTGAAAATGTGTGTAAAAGCAAAGAATGAATTTACTCAGCCTTGACTGAGTGCTCTGAGAAAACTTTTGAGATACTTAAGACTTTTGCTATAAGTGCAATACATTGCAGAGTTAGTGCTACCTAGTTGTATACGTGGTCTCATTTTACTCCGTTTAATTTGGCAATCTTCACCTGCTAAAATGAAAAAAATTTTGCTAACGCAGGCGCACAATATCATGTAGTCAGAGATCAGAGGCATCATTTGATTCACCTGAAAAGTTATGTTCAAGGTGTTGTGCTTTCCCCTAATTAGAAAAAAATGCAAGTTTTTTTTATTTTCCCCTAGTTAGAAAAAAAACGTATGTTATTATTGCTTACATTGTGGACCATTTTGGTGGTTTGTCATTTTTTATTTGCTTTTTTCTTTACATTCATTGTGCCGGTTGTTCTCTTATGAGCAAAGCCCTAAAATTAGGTTGAAAAAGTGCCTGTAAGTTAGGCTGGTTTTAAGTCAAGTGGGATAATGCTTTTATATTACAGCAGAAATAACTTTTTAGTCAAGTTGTTTAGAAAGAAGTCCATTTTGTAGAATCAGTAACCTTTGGAGATATATTAGTCTTGCTCCAATTTTGAGGGTGGGGGAAGGGGAGCAAAGCTGGGAAAGAAAGATTTCAAGTCAAAATTGAACAAGTAATCTGACATAAAAACCTAAACCGAACAAACAAGTCGCAGAATGAATTTGACTGTCTCCAGGTGATTATGTTGGCTGCTAATGTAGGGGAAATAATGGTGTTTGTATGCAACTCAAATGAAGTACTCAGCATGTTGGATTCATGCTTAATTTTTTTTTTTAAATATAAGGGTTTAGGGATGCATTCCTACACTCATAGCTATATAGAGAAGCTCAGTTGTTTGTTTGCTTACACCATTTATATACTATATTTCTTCAAACATAATAACTCCTTTGAAAGCATTTATCTAGGCAGAGAAGAAAACTGCACTTTGCCTTTTGGCTTCCACAGCTTCAGTAAGGTGAAACCTCCTGGAAGGTTATCGTGTCATCCAGCACTCAAAAATAAAAAATAAAAAACTTCCCTACCTTTTGACCCAAGCATCTTCAGTATGTTTCACATCATTTCTCCAATGTCAAATGATGTGGTAAATGTGAGGGGGTGTTTTCACTTCTCTTTATCCTCTTACCCTGTGGAGCTGAGAATCTTCTGTGTTGGGAGATCCTCAAGAAAATTCAAAGCAGATAAATGCCAGTCTCAGATGATGGAAAAAAATGCATTTCACAGAGTCCTAGAGGGTACTGTGCAAATTATGTTGCCATCAAATAAGTTGAATATAGTAGTCTGAGAGAAATAGAAGAGACCTATGTTCTAAGAATACAGTGTACAGTGGAGATGCTAGATTACAAGCTATTTTACTTCTGTCTCATTCTTTTTTTTTTCTTTTCCTGTTTAAATGAAGTTTTGAGTCTGATTTAAAAAAAAAAAAAAAAAAAGAGCTTGGCTTTTGAGCTCAAATGCATTTTGGTCCTTATAAATGCAAGACTGAGGCAGTGCCCCCCTCAGAACCTTGGCTGACTTAGCAGCCCAGAAGAGTGCTTTATCACTTGATAGTATAGATGCTCTGAATTGTATTCTGGTTTATGAAGTGAATTTGCACCTGATTCCACGGAGGTGACATTGACTCACTTCGTATTAGACTGTCACATTTTCTGTTTGTGCAGGCCAGGAGTATGGGGCGGCTTGATGGGAAAGTAAGACTTCTGTCTGCTGCAGCACAAGGGATTGGAAAAGCCACTGCAATCGTGAGTTAGATAAAATTTGTTCTCCTGTACCTAAGCTGGATGTCTGATGCTAGCATGTGCAACAACATCTGCACCAAACTAGTTCTTAAATTAATAAACTGTAGATAAAGCCAGAACTACTTACTGAAAAATTCAGGGAACAATATAATCAATGTATACTATATTACATATGCTTGCTGCTGTTTAAATTTCTGAAAGTGAGAGAAACATCGTTATTGTTAAAATTAAAAATATTTATTGATTTTCTTGTTGACTATTGCTTATGAAAAGTTCTACCCCTGCTATTTCCTTCTTCCTTAGTAGACAGAAACTAGCAGGGTTATCTCACTTCCTGCATAATTTAATCAACAAGCCCTGAAAAGTGCCTGTAAGCAGGAATATTGCAAGATTAGTTTGTCTCACACACAGTTAAGAATGCATGAAACTGTTCAATTTCACCACTTGCATAAAAACACTTTGTCTAAAGAGCAGGTCACTTTACTGGTGATTTCCTTTTGCAAACACCCTACAAGTCACAGAGGGCTAGCACATTTAATCCTGCTATCCTCTTAGATTGTGTTTGAGACACTTAATTTGAAGACTGGGGGCTAGTGTCAGAGACTATGGAATGGAGGTTGCTCTGTATGCAGTCAAAATGGATTTTTGAGGGGAACATCAGGAAATAAAGGAATATGTCTGGTTAAATTATCAAATGAAAGTCGTGTTTCTTCTGAATATTACTCTGTTCCAATGATTTGGATGTGAAGGATCCTAATGAAGTTCATGCTGTGTCATTCCTCTTGATTTGTCTTCACCTATCAAATATAAGAAATCAGACAATTTTAGCTTAAGGTGTTTGCAGCGTGCTCGCTAGTGCACACGCTGTTACTAAGGGCAATAATACCCACTGTCTTAGTTTGGTTACTGCTCTCATGCTTGCTTTATGGATTTCTTATTTCATAGGCAAGAACATAAATCTCTCATAACATACAGTTTTTTAGTCGTCCCCAGGATGTTTAGTAATCAATGTCCATTAACTTTCTCATTGCCTAGAATGAGTAGGGGGAGATTACCTGCCTTCAGTCAACTTTTATTTCAAACCAAAACCAAATGAGAAGAAAACAGATTTTCTTGTACGATATGGGATATCTAAAAACAAATTACATCTCTTATTGTATTCTTCAGGCTTTTGCTAAAGAAGGAGCCAAAGTCATTGCTACAGATATCAATAAGACTAAGCTGCAAGAACTGGAGAAGTATCCAGGTAAATCACCTTCTGTAGGCATTAGTTCAAATATAGTAAATATTGTTGTAGGCTGGCCAGAAAAGTGTGGAAAACATGGAGAGTAATCATTTAGATATTGTCATTACTTTAGTCTGTGGTGTAAAATGGCAGAGATTACATGTAAAATGCTTCGATTGTCAGTGTTTCAGACAGAATATTCTAGGAGTGTGGAATAACTGTGTGTTTCTTGTGTCAAAGAAGCAGCTGATTTCCCAGAATGCTTCGTTACTTCTATTTATTTGTTCATTTATTTTTAAGATTACTGGAGCGACTGTTGAAACTATCATGTGAAAAACATGGAATGCTTTTTCCTGATATAAGAACTCATCTCCAGCTATACAAATAGATTTAGTGCCTTGCATTTCCCTGGTCCGTTCTCAGCAAGGAAAGCATTTAAAAGATAACTGTCTAATAGGAATTGGCATATCTTTAGAAACTAATTACATCAACCAATGAGCTTATTTTATTTGTACAAATGCTCAGGCTCCAAAGTTGCTTTCCAGTTCATATCACAAACACTTGCTTCAAGGAAAAGATTTTTCAGTAGCTACGTTTTTTAATTACAAGAGATGCACAAATGGGGGACTATTTAAAAGTTACCTTTTTTTCTTTTAAGAAAGAATAAGGCAGTTTCAGTTGTGAACTAGAACTTTTTCTAACTTAAGGTGATGGAGGACAATGATCACTGGGTGTCAACTTCATGAATTCCTATTACAGTGTGGCAGCAAAATAAACAAAAACACTTATCTCCTCTGACTGGAATTCACTGCAAACAGTCTTGCTGTAATTCTTCAAGAATTACCCCATAAAACCCCATAGAACCCTGCAACCCCAGAGACTTCAGATTTATAGAAAGAAGTGATTTTTATGGCAAATCACATTAGCTTATTTGTTTGTGTGATACTATATGGCTGTCAAGTCAGTTAATGTATTTTTAATTCCTCTCTGAAATCATGAATACCATGCCCTACTGCCCATTCCTGTTTTAAGCATTGCACACATAAAGTGTAGCTTTCAGTATGTCTCCATGTCTTGGCTTACCACTGAGAGGGGTCTGTTCCTGGCAAGCTACTGACTTGAATGGGAGGCACAGTGTCCTCAGCACTTGAGAAAAATAAAGTGCTAATTCTTAGCCAAAACCAGTTAAACTAAAACCGTGTTTTTCTAGGCATTCAAATACGGGTTCTGGATGTCACCAAAAGGCAACAGATAGAAGAGCTGGCAGAGGAGATTGAAAGGATAGATGTCCTCTGTAATATTGCAGGGTAACCATCTTCTATTTCATACTACTTCTTTTTTCAGCTTTTCCTATCCTCCAGAACTATTTTCTTTTACCTAAATCCATTTTTTTTTTTTTGTTGCTGTAATGCACTTTATATCTTTAATATATATTTTCATCAAAACTGAACTTTTTGTGCACAGCCATGTTACCCAGGCCAAGATACAATGGCTCTGGAACTTGTTTTCTCTACTCTGTGGATGCTTTATAGTGCTGAATTTAGCCTTCCTCCTGCAATAGTGAGCAAAGTCAGTTGCTTTTTTTAAATGCATATTTGTGTTTTAATTTCCATATGAGCAAATGTTTTATTGCTCATTGGGTCTGCTTTGTGTCCCTGATACTCCTCAGATGAAAAACACTGTTACTTCCTTCGAAAGGGCTCTCGTCCCTGCTTTTTTGGGATTGGAAGGATATTACAAAATGGTAATGACAGAATTGCATAAAAAGCTATAGAAATGTAAAACCTTGCACAGTAATCATGTACTTATTCCAGGTTTGTTCATCATGGGACCATTCTGGATTGTGAAGAACGAGACTGGAACTTTGCTATGAATCTTAATGTTCGCAGCATGTATCTAATGATCAAGACATTCCTTCCTAAAGTAAGGATTTGTTGCTCTCTACTGCATTGCAATTAAATTTGACAGTTTTAAGTCACTGCTGCTTGTCACAGATTGCAATTTGAGATAAGCATACAGCTCTACAACTTTTTCCTTAAATGAAAAGGCCAAAAGAGGTAGCTGTGACCATTACTGGATGCCTAATTTTTTTTCTCCTCCAGTGTTGCTCCAGTCCTTGCTTTTATTAGTTGATCTTCATTTCAAAGCTTGTTTATAACAGCTTTAGACATTTCAGGTTTTGGGATGTCTAAAAAGGTTATAACACAGGCACACTTCAAAAGTTTTCTTTTTTTTCTTTTTAAGTCTTAGCCACTCTGTCTTATGTGAATTGGAACAAGATAAGCTACAGTTGTCACTTCAGTAATCCTGTCAATTAGTTAGGTGGTAAATCCTAGGGGGGGGGGGTGGGCAAGAGTACTCTGTGACAGTTTCAGAATCTGTTTTATTACTTCAATTAACAAATTAAAAAGAAATGAGCACTTATTCATGCTTATGACTCATTATCTTGCATTTCAATTGTATATAGGACTATTCTGTTGGTGCTATTGGCTGTTCTAGGCCTGTAAAAAACAAAACAGCGTGAATGATGTAAATGTTCTTTTGCAGATGATTAAACAGAAATCTGGAAATATTATAAATATGTCTTCTGTGGCATCCAGCATTAAAGGTGAGTGGCTTTCTAGAGTGATTCTCATATAAATCAGTCTTAAAATATCATGTTGACACTGTTCTGTAAAAATTTGTATATCTGTTCTTGAGAAAACTTTTTTTATATGCATAACAAATGCCCTTGATTTTGATACTTTGTGTGTATTCCTGATGAAGCATGCTCTAGTTAAATTATGTACAGTAGTAATTCCACAGTCAGCACACAGAATGGGTTGCTCTTAATCACAGCTTTGCTGTAAAAGAAGGTACTTTGTTTGTTGTAGATGAAGTCTTGTGATCAAAACAAAGGTTTATAACAACAGAGGGCCTCCTGATAAAGGAAGGTTTGCTACAGTGTTGGAGCTGATGCTTGTTATCTCTGCTCAGTGCAGGTTGCTTCTATTCAGATTGCCTAGGTTTTTGCTTTGATTTTTGCTTTCTAATGATCCACGCTAAAGACCTTCATGCTTGTTTTTTTTTTCCCTAGTATGTAGTACTCCCTAGGGCAGCTGAAGTGAGCAAATCTGACTTTCTATTCACACATGAGGGCAGTGAAGTGATACTGCAAATGCACAGTGGTATTATAAAGTCTTCAGTCTTTTTAAGAACAGTAGTAATAATTTCTAGTGACATGTATAAAAACTTAAGAAAAAAAAGCTGAAAAGCTACAGAATAACATTTGGGGGAGTGGCAGGTGAGAAAATTCTAAGAACGACAATAAATATTGCACTGCTTTTAATTTAGAGGATGTTGGCCAATGTTGGAGGAATGCAGGTTGAAAAAAAATATATTAACGCATGGGCACAGGCAGTTTCAGAAACAATCAAATCCTGGCCTAAGAGCTTTCTGTTATGAAAGTTTTGTAGCATCTTTTTTATCAGTATGTAATAACTCAAAAAAAGTTCTGTTCAGTGACGTCTTGCTATCTATGTTCCTCAGAGGAACAATGAACCAATAAGCAATACAGTCATGCTTACCAATGAAAACTAATGGTAGCTAAAAGAGGAGACTCTGCTCTTCATGAACTTTTGTATGCTTGCAATGTTACTTTTTCTGGACTACTCCCCAGATTCCTGTTACTGAAGAATCCTGTGCTTTATTCTGGTGTATGCCTGAGTAGAATTCTGGCAGTTGGCATTTTAGTTAGCACAGCTTCTCCATAAGGGCAAGTTAAAATAAACACTGGAGTCCAGAAGCAAATGCATGTTGAATAAACTCTCTGTTCTTTTTTGACTTTGTTTTGCTTCTGTGCTGTCTTCATACTGACCTTCTGTTAGGAGTTGTGAACAGATGTGTATACAGTACTTCCAAGGCAGCAGTTATTGGTCTAACAAAGTCTGTGGCTGCTGATTTCATTGAACAAGGGATCAGATGCAACTGTGTATGTCCTGGTAAGTACTGTTACAGTATATTGTTAATACAAATGGATGATAAAAGGCACGTAGCAAAATCTAATTTGACATTACTAACAAAACATAGATTTGCAAGCAGCAACTATTGTTACAAGAAACTAAGGGGAGAAAAAAGGACATATATGAAAAATTTCTGACTCTCAAAGTAGAAAACTTTCTATTTTATAATTAAAAAATGTTTACTTGTTAAACCAGCACGTGCACCTTATATTCAGATTACACAGTATTTCGAGGCTTATTGTTAAACCTGTATTTCTCGAGTTAGAAGCAGGGGGTGCCTACGTAGCAGGCTAGCTATTTTTCAAACATCTGAAAGGTATTGAATGTAATTCTCAACTCTTATTTTCTACTGAAATTTAGGCTCCTACTATATTCATAGTTTTGCAGTCATGAATTTTGTCATGATTTAACACTTCAGTGTTATGACATACAAATGGAACCCATGAACTGCACTTTTTGTTATGATTGCTAATGAAGTTGAGCTGTAACTTTGAAATTACAATTTTTGCTTAGGAACTGTTGACACACCATCTTTACAGGAAAGAATCAAAGCCCAGCCTAACCCAGACCAGGTGAGTTTCATCTGAAATTTGGGAAGAAAACTCTTGAATTCTAATATGGTGTTAGAAAGTGGCATTCCTTTATTCCTCATGATGCGTACCAGACGACTTGACAAAACAAGTGCACTCTCAGAGTTCAAGTTTTATGTTCAAACAGTTAAGACATACATACACAGTACATTTCCATACCTATTCATTTTTTTTTTCAAGAATTCATTAGTATATGCTAATGTCCCTCTGGGCATGCACAGTAGCAGCCTCTGGTGGTTTTTGACCACTTTCTTTCTCCCCATTTTTCTATCATCAGCTTCATCAAAGAGACTTTTGGCTGAACTCAGCAGTTTTTCCCCAACTTGCCAAATTTCCATTTCTTGATAGCCCATAATGAGCAGCTTTCTATGTTAGTATGCTCTAATCCAAAACAGTATGAGAGAAATCTGAGGAATAAATTCCTGTACCTGGTGGGTGCAAAGATAGAAATAGAGTATTATGTCTCCAGGGCTTCTCGTGAAGCAGAACCATTGAGGGAATCATAGAATCATAGAATTGCTCAGGTTGGAAAAGACCTTAAAGATCATCAAGTCCAACCTCAACCTAACCATACTACCCTAACTCAAACAACCCACTGCTAAACCATGTCCCTAAAACAACAACAACAACAAAAACAACAACAACAAAAAACAAAACAGTTGTTTTTCATAGCACCGCATCCAGACAGTTTTTAAACAAGGCTGTTCACACACCAAGCAAAGTTGAAATGGGAAGCTACAGAATTAGCATTCACTCATTCCTTTTATGAAATTAATGTATCAGTCCTTAAACGAACATACTGATCTCTATTGCTAAACAAACCAGCCTACATCATGAGCAAGCAATTCAATAGTTTGTTCATGTATGTGCCAATGTTTATGCTTCTTTTTTCCTTTTCAATAACTAAAACCCACAGCACTTCTCAAACTGAAGAAAATTCCATATCTTAGAGTACCAAGGATAATATAACAGTAGTATTGTCCTTAATAGTTTGGTGAGTTTCTGCTGAGGGTGGGAGGCTTAAAATGCTTTGGAAGGGCACTGCTGCTCAGTAAACACAGACCAGTGCAAAACAATGATAGAAAGGGCATTCTGACCTACGTGTTTAAAAATTAATTGGGATCTTTAATTGTACTAACCCAGTGACTGTGAGGACTCATTTGAAGGGTCTGGGAATATCATCCACCAAAGGGGAAGGGCTTCAGTGGCTTTATTCTGCAACCAGAAGTTTAGGTCCATGAAATCTGTACAACAGCAAGTATTCTAACTTCTTCTAGCGTACACTCCCTACCCAGTAAGCTAAAAATTATAACATATGGGTTGCTTCCAGTATTGCTTTGTACATATCACATGCTAATTGGATAAAAATAATTACTTTATATTTTCAATATACCAAGTGTTTTTATATATCTAGGCATTGAAAGATTTCCTAGCCAGACAGAGGATTGGCAGGATGGCTACTGCTGAAGAAGTGGCCCATCTCTTTGTGTACTTGGCTTCTGAGGAAGTAAGTATGGAACAATAACACTTCCTGTCACAATCCCAATTTATTTTGCTTCTCAGTAGAGAGAATTTGTTCTAAGAGGGCTTGCATCCTCTATGAGCTTGATTATTAACCCCCCCCCCCAAGAAAACAAACAAACAAACAGAACAACAACAACCTCCAAACCTTTACTGAATAAAACTTAATTTTTACAAAATTTTTACAAAAATTACTCTGAATGTTGACAGTGATTAAGGCATTACATACTTGGTGCTACAGTCAGGTTTTTTTCCATATAATTTGAGAAAGCTGACTGACCTCAGATCGTTCTGAATCATAGGAGAAATGGGCTTGTCTGCTCTTGCCAGTTGTTTTGTTTGCACTGCAGTTACATATTTTTCTAAGGCAGTAGAATTAGTACTGTCATTACCTGCTTGCAGTAAGCAAGAGAGAATACTTGTATAGACCCATGAGAGAGAGATCTGAGCTAAGAGGTCTAATGCTATGTTTTAGCCTACCATTTTGGCTTAAGGAAAACAATAGAACAATTGAGGTTTTTATAGACCAAACTCTAAATGTTCACTGCAAATACAATTAATACTAATGAACACATATCAAGCTTATTTCAGATGTTATACATTCACAATGGATCTAATACTGAACTGGGTTCCAATGCACTTGCCCTGCTGAGCACAGCAGAATAATTTAATGCTATTAGTTCAGTCTTGATGTTTTCATCTATTGTAATCTTTTCATCTTCTTTCTAGTGTTCTCAAGCAGTGTTTCTGTAAAGCTACTAATTTTCCAGTCTGGTCATATGGCTTTCAAACTTTTGTAAATAGAATTAAAAAAAAAAAATACTATATTCTATGTAATTTCAGTCTGCCTACATGACCGGCAATGAAGTTGTCATTGATGGAGGATGGAGCTTGTGATCAACTCTACCTGCAGATGGAAATCCGTACAATGAAAAGCAAAAAGTGAGGATCACGTTTCTCAGTTAAGAGTTTTCAAAGTTTTACATCACTTATAGGATGTAATCTAGAACAAATTTGGTGCATTTTTATGGTTATGTGATCTCATTCTATAATCAGTCTTGTTTTAAGCAAATCTAAATGAAAGGAATTAATACCATCATTATTCTCAGCCTAGAAAATATTTAGAATTTAAACATTCACAATTCTTACCAGCATTACGAGACTATCCAGAGAAAACAGACAACTTTTAAAGCAGCCAAAAAGTTACCAAATTTAATGTTTATTTTAAACAACAGAAGAAAGCAGAAGTGATATATGTGAAGTTTGAAATAATTTTGTTACTAATGACAGACATTTACTTCTAGAGAACATACTAGATCTTGCAAATTATACCTGAAAATCTATCCTGTTTGCAGACTTTCGTTTCTGCTCACTTCTATCATTAGCAAAATGGTTTTTAAAAAACAGTAACGACCATAGAAAAATAGTTTGTGTTGGACTTGTTGAAAAGAATCTGACCTGAGACTGACATCCAGAGTAGAAGGTGCAAGACTGTCAGAGACACTGGATAGATAGTGTATGGGCAGAAGAAATTCCTGCACATACAATAAGAAGTCAGTGTACATGCACAGCTGTTTCATGCAACTACAATATCCATTTTCCCATATACTGGACAAGTTAGACTGTTGGAATTTTGAACAACAACAACAAGTCATAGCCCAAAAAGCTATGACTGTTAGAAGCAATAGGACTGGCTGCCTTGTGGTTCCAGTGTTTTTTGTTTAGGCATTTGAAGAATATAGACACTGTCTTTGTGAAGCAGAGATGATAGAAGATAAATTGTTATAACGGCTGTTAAAAGACTATGCTCTCTACATGCTTGTAAGCCTTACAGAATCATGTTAGCTCTTACCTTTAATTGTAGTGGGAACGTTCCAATCCTGAGTAGTTTGTCTGTGGGATTTTCAGTTATGTTCTCTGGCATTTCATTCCAGTGACCTCAGCAGCCAAGCAGGATGAAGTTGGAGCAAAAATCCAAAGTTATCCAAAATGGCTCCACCAATACTCACTGATGTAAAGTCAAATGTTGAACGTTCAGGCCAACAGGATTCTGTTTCAGTGTTTGCAGAGCTTAAAGTGAAGGCTAAAGTCCTCCTTTTGTAGGTGGTATGGAAGGCTTACCTTGGGAAGGTGTCTCCACGCTTGTAGAATCACAGGAAGCTTGTGCTATTTTGAAAATGAAAGTTCTCTCAAATTCATCATTATAAATTACTTACTGCATATAGAACTTTAATAGATAACATTTCTAAGCTCATTGGTGATCGTAATGCATTGATGCTACTCAAAAATGTTGTTTAGACAAAACGCTCCTGCAACAAAAAGAGAGAGCATCCACTTTCTACCTTGCACTGAAAGCACAGATACAGGCATTTTTTCAGAGAAGCTGGTTGTCAAAAACAAAAACACCACCAACAGAGAGTGCTGTCTCTTGTTTTGCTAGTGGTGTGTGTTATTGCATGGTTGTGTTAACAGCCATAAGTCTGAAATGTGCCTCAACATCTTGTGTGTTTTCAAGCAGGCTTATTAAAAGATAATGCTTTCTAATACTCTTCTGTGATCTCTCTGTTCTCCGAGTTGTTTATATGGAACTGGGAAATCTTGTTTCTTCTCCTCTTACCCCATCCACGTGCAATCACTTCGATTCTCTTGCCCTGCCCCATGCAATTCCTCCCCTTGTTCTCCCGCTGTGGGCTCGGGGCTGGTCCACGGCTCAAAGCTGCCGCCCGCTGTGCACGGCACGAGAGGAGAAGGTGGCACCCGGCAAGCCTTTGGGATCCTGCCTAGCTGCAGCGGGACGGCTTTGCAGCCTGCCTGGTGCATCTGTGAATAGAGGAGGTATCGTGGTGCGCTAGTGGGAGGAGTAGCCAGAGCTGGCACCGGGCTGCTCCTGCTGCCGGGCGTGGTTGAGCGCATCGCCATCTCGGCGTGTTGGAGAGGCTGCGCGGGGACATGGGATTGCTCTGATTTCCGCCGTTCCACACGTAAGTCCAGGCTGCAGGAGGAGAGGTGGGAGCCGCAGGGAGGAAGCGGGCTGGGGAGGCTGGGTTGCATCGGGGCGCGCTTACGCCTTCAGAGTGACGGGTGGTTGGGGCTGACGCTTTGCGTTAATGCTGGCCGTCAGTGGCTCCGGCAGAGCTTGCGGCGCTTCGTGTGCGTGCACAGAACGGAGTGTTGACAGTCACTGGGGCAATGCAGCTAAAAATATCGGCGAGCACATGCTGCCCATCAGTCATCTTTAGAGCTTTGCTTTCCGTCTCTTTTTAATTCCTTCCTATTCAAAACAAGTAAAATAAAAGCGTCTAACGATAGCTATAATAAAAAAGCTTTTCTTTTTTCATGCCGAGGGCTGTAGTGAAATAAGCATGTTACTGGCTGGTTTCCAGTTTCCACAGTGTGGGCCTTAACAATGGAGTATGAATTCTGCTCCACCTTTCTTCAGTCCATCTGACTTTATTTGCGAAGAAATCTGCATGGAGGAAATTTATAAAAACCAAGGCTGAAGGTCTGTCACACAACAAACAAGGGCAGGCTCATGCTGTCCAAGACATTAATTCCTACCTTGGAAAAATCCCTGCTAAGCAGATTTCCTTTCACAGTCTTTTCTTTCCTTTACTCTGCAGTAAACAGTGGCTGCCGGCCCTGAAATTGTTGGGAGGTGGGCTCCTCTTCCTCATGTATGTCGATGTATTTCATGTCAACTGGTGTCTGACCCCAAGAACTAGGATCATCACCTATGCAAACGTGGATGAGAACAATCTATATTATCCCTTACCCATCCAGCACACACACATCTTTCAAAACTAGAGTGATGTACAAATACTGTGAGGAGAGAGAACAAAACCATTACGCTAGAATACATTGAAACTGTCCTTCTATATTCTTTCTCTATGTCTTAGCTGTGTCTCAAGCCAGTTTCATACCAGAACAGCTCAAACAAAATTAACCAAGTGTTAAAACAGCCCCTGCCTTTGTTCAAGGCATCAATCTTTCGCAGATCTCAAAGATATTATGAACTGAAGGCTTGATAATTGTGAGAATCAGGTCTCTGACTTGCTTCCAGCAATTCAGCAAGGAGGGAATTTTTTGGCTCAAATGTTTTGGCACAACTTGAGTGGCTTATGGAGCTTGAGAAATGGACTTTGGGAAAAGTACTATTGCCACTGATACGTGGTTGGTGGAGTTACTGTGACAAAGAATGTGAGCAAGTCTTGTGCGTGTAACTCTTATTGACCCAGACTTGTGGAATTGTAGTAAATTTTCACACGCACACACAAAAAACACATTTAGTACATTGTCATATCAGCAGAAATTACCAGTTAGAGCAAATACAATGATGATTACCTGCAACAACTTGAGAATTTCCTTTTCTACTCTCTTAAAAAAGCAAAAATTTTCTGTTTCTGAGATACTCAATCGATGTATTTGAATGGTGATGTCTAACAGAACCATCTCCTTGAAGATTTCACTAAAAATCAAGCAAGATCTGATCAGATTTTTAGCTAGGAAGAAAGTGTCCCTTGTATGTATTCTGTAGAAACTACACCTAGTATTTGTATGAAATGGTCACTTGCCTTATCACATGCACACGTTTAGTGACGCTTTCAGAGTTTGTTGTCCTGGCAGGAGGTATTGGCAGTAAGTGATTTTTCTCTTGTTCTTACAGAAGGCATGAGTATATAGATGTATTTTACAGCCATACTCTCGCAGAGTACATAATATGTCTGCGCAAAACACAATGACTCTAAAACTTGCATTTGTTTTAGTGCTTGACTTTGCAAACATAATACTGTTTATTTATTAGCTTCTGTGTTTTGTCTTATATATAGCATTCACTGGCATACAAAGGATGTTAAATTCCAAATAGGGCTTTTTCACATTAATATTAATATAATATTACAGGAAAGTGTTGCCTCTGGAAAATGCTGTTACCTGTTTCTATAAGTTTTCTACCTCTATTGCATTAATTAGCTTTGCCACAATGGTGAAGGAGGATACGGTGAATGAAGATTCTGAACCATCAGTATGTGAGAGAAATGACATGATTCCCATGCATGAGAAAAGTGAGGTAATTAATTAGCATTTCAAATTGCAGCTTAATTTAGAAGAATCTTCCTCTTCCCCTTTTCTTGCTGAATCTGTCAAAATGCTGAACAGAATGCGGAGAGAAATTTCCTCTGTGAGAATTTGTCATAATAAACAAACATTCTGTTTTAAAAACTGTGTTAAGTTAGATAAGCATATGATACTGACTGTAAAGACAAGTACTTTGTGGTGTGTCTGTATATATATGGGAAGCTGGTGATCACAGGATAGGAAACCTAGTAATCCTGTGCTTGAAACCTCACAGGATTTGATGTTCCAACTGTGACTATGAGTAAGGGATATATATATATCTATATAAGACAGAAAAATAATGGGAAACGTGGAACTGCTACTGGATGAGGGCCAAACCGCAGCATGGGCAAGAGTTCCATGTCCACGCTATGAGAATGGGCTGGCACAAAGATGAATAATTATAAAGGAAGAGAGATGATTAACTTTTTAAAAACAAGGACCTTCAAATGAAGGGAGACGCATATCCAAAAATGGTCAAAAAGCATATTGGTTATGAATTCGGGTATTTAGATGAATCAGTATAAAAGAGCAGCTTTAACAAACTCTGTGCCTCAAGAAACCATTATTCAAGGAAGAATCTGCCAGGGGAACATTTCTTCTTCTCTACCTCAACTTACCAGCTTGAGCCTTGCAACTATGGATCGTGTGAGTAATGTTTGCACTGCCATCTGCATTGTTTCTTTCATTTTTGTACAATCACAAGTGGGTTTGATTGTTTTGGTTCAAGGCTTTGTAGTAAAAGTTAATTACGAGTTATATTAAAGATACTGCCTCACTTGGATGATGCTAAGTGTTACTTTATTGTAGAATCTGGTGTGGAAGCAGAAACATATCGAACTGTGAAAAATGTTGATTAATGTTTGTCTTACACACAAGACAAACTGGACACAGTTTGTTAATGATGATGTTTTTTTGTCAAATACCCTGATGTTGTTGCCGAGCAAGTGCTCTGTGCATAGGCACAGGAGCTTTCACAGAAATGGATTTAAAAACAATAAATAAATGAATGACCTGCAGTCTTTCATATGCACAACTTTCTGCCATATGAAAACAGACTTGTAACTGAAAATGCCAAATCCAGTACAAAGCTCTAATCTTTCTGGTAGTCAGCGATTGTTTCGTTAATGTTGTTCATCAGTAGACAGGATGCATCCAGCGTATTGCGACCGATTGCAGATATGTTGTATGGCGCTGCACATGCATACTGACCCACTTCTGAGATAATTTCATTGCTTTCATTTAGGAGGGTTCAACAGTAGATGCCAAGGGTACTGATGGGAATATACAATCAGAAGAAACTGCTCTCTTGAATCACTCAGCTCAGCAGCCTCCAGAACCGATATCAGAGTCTTCAACATCTGCAGGAACATGGAGGCAAATATTTGCTTGTCCTCCTCAGGGTTTACTGTCTCGAATAGTAACAAATGGTAAGTAAGAAAAAGACAATGCGAAATGTTTAGTTAAACTGAGTAGAAGGAAGACTTCCTAATTCTCATGGTTTTGGTGTGAATATATTGAGATGGTTATAAAAAGAGTGCATTTTCCACAAACTAGATGGCTTTCTGTTGAATTAAGGCACCGAAAATGAGACTTTGCAGTAATACCTTCTTCTGTACTTAATATCCTAGGCTTGCAAAGCCAAGAATCATAACTCCAAGGCAAATTGACTCATTCAAGAGCCCTGCACTCTAAGCTTCCAGAACAGAATACCCAGCTAACCAGCTATTTCAGGCTTTTCCAAACAAAAGATATTTTTTGTGGCTTTGCTTCCACAGCCTCTATTCTCTCTCACTTGTGATTCTTAGGCATTATGTTTGGAAAACTAACAGTCTACAATCATCCTCAAATAAGATACAGAAAATTCACCCTGAAAATGCAATACATTTTCATGTGATTACAAGAAGGGCATTTATACAACAAGTTTTTTCTTCTACTTCGCTCTTTTGCCTTTGTCTATTCATGTCTGTTCTGTTGTGTTAATATAGGAACAGATTTGGGAAACTGGAAAGAGTATACTATTTTCATATATTTTATAATATTTTCAGATATTTTTGTAATACTTTTCAGGACCTTTCCCTCTTTATTATCCCTCTTTGTTTTCTGTTTAAGTTATACTACCTTAGGCTGCCCAGAGACATGACCTTCACATTTTTGTTTCCCAGGGATGACAATGCATTGCACAGACGTATCTAGCCAAAAAATGATATGTTAATGAAATGAGAACAGAACTGCAGTCATTAGCTCAAAGACATAACAGGCACAGCAGGTTCCTGCTGCAGTTTTTACTTAGCTGAAGGAAGATAGCACAAATGCAAGATGAGTGCTGGTGAAAATCTTTGCTTTAAGTCTAGGACCTATTAAATGCTTTCCACAGTGGCCTGAGGTTTACTCAGTCTTTTTTGGTCCCTAATGACTTTCCTGTTACTATTTTCTAAAGTGTCTCAGCATCTATAAAATCAGAACATAGGCTTTAGGAGTGTCAAATATTAAACAAAGTGTTACGATTAAACTGATTTTTAAGATACGGAACTTTTATTTCTGAGATTTAATGGCAGAAAAAGAAATGTGACCTAGTATTGAAATTGGTTCTCTGTTTATTAGAAATGATTAAATATTAATATTTCTTGTCTTGTTCTAGTTGCTGCTGTGGTCCTGATTTGGGCTGTGGTTTGGTCCATCACTGGGCCTGAATGTCTCCCGGGTGGAAACCTGTTTGGAATTTTGTGTCTTTATTTTTTTGCTGTCGTTGGAGGTAAAATTTTTGGACTCATTAAAATAGGAACACTGCCGCCCCTCCCTGCTCTTCTGGGTAAGATGCCCTTCCTTCTTTTCTTCCTGCGTGGTTGTGGTGTTTTAATAGTCAGGGGCTACCTGCAGATTGGGCATGTTTGGATTAGGAATGTGCAAACTTACAACGCCCAAATTTGTCACTTTTTCATGTGACTTGTTTGTGGTCCTTGTGGAGAAGTTAGAAAACTCCCCCAGACTAGCTCAGGCGAAACTAAGTACATGTTACTAAGGCTCCTCCTCCCCTTAGTTCTTTTTGGCTATCATTATTATGATATTATGAAGTACTTTGATGCCAACGTAGCTGAAAAAGGTGATCCCTTTGTTACGCTAAGTCTATACATGAGTTGAGCTGGTGATACAGAGAAAACTTCAAGGCAGAGCAGGCTGCAAATGCCTTCTCTAGTGCCTTGAAGTGATAAATAACCTGCTATTATTATTATTAAGTGCTACTGTGGTGTCTCACAGTGGGCCCTCTGACAGGAGAAGGGCTAGATGGCTTTGTTTGCAGCACTGTTCGGGCAGTGTGCATATTCAGGTACTGCTGAGTTCACAGGTGAGAACAGATTCAAACAAGAGGGAGGGAAGTTTTGCATATAGCATGGCTGCCCACAGTAACACAGGCTTTACAAGCAGGGCCCTCAGTAAGTAAACACCTTAAAAAAAAGAAAATCATAGAATCATATAGAATCATAGAATGGCTTGAATTGGAAAGGACCTCAAGGATCACCGAGTTCCAAAATCTGACCATTTGGGTTCTACTTTCTTCAATTTAATCTGTATCTAAAAATTGAGTTGAGCATGAAGCTAGCTGTTCGCCTGACTGAAACTTAAGCATGATGGTATATGTCTGGTGAGTTGCTTAGGTTTGAGTTAATTGTTCAGATCCACGGTCTTTGAGGAAAACTGAGCTATCTAGAGACAGAAGAAGAGATGCACTATGTCTTTGACTAATCTTTTTTACACTAAGAGTATAAGTCTTGTACTCTTGTGTAGGAACTCTTTAATTCATTTCTGCTAGGTGCACTGTGGCTGGTTCAGCTCTGTGCACCTTATAGTAGCCTCTGTGTGAGGAAGGGGGAAGGACGTGGCTACGGAAATGGTCACATATTATATTTTAGGTATTTTGGAGGTTCTGCTGGCAATATGGAGCAGAATGATAAGGGTATCTTTTAAGGTGGGGTATTTGTTCTCTGATAAGCAATCTTCCAGATCTGCGTAAATCCAGTCAGTGGATGTTACACACACAAAAAAAAACTGCAAAAAGCCACGTGATCATTAACGCTAGCCTGATATAAATGTCACGAGGTACTGCAGACTAATTATGCCACTTTTTTCTTCTTTTTTTTAATTTTTTTTTCCGGGAAGGGGTGGGAAGAGCAGTGTGTTAAGGATGAATCAACTCCGCAGCCAAGGTTTACAGGCAAACACACCAAGCTGTGCCCAACTTGAGCACAGTGTTTACTTTTCATCATTTCTCGTTTATTAACATGGTTAATATGAAATTACACGACAAAAAAAATGTTTCTTTGAATCATGGGCACCTACAATGAGTTTTTACAGAACTATAGTTAGCATCTCCATGCTTTTCTGTATCTTTCCAGAGCTCTAGTTCTGATAGCTTTGCAAAAAGTCCCTGATTAAGCTACTTTGCTAATATTTGCAAAAGGTTGGATCTTTCAAGTAGCTCAAATAGAGAATAGAGGATAAGTGCAAGTTCTTGTTATTTTCCCCTCTTTTCTCCTTTGCATAAAAGTTGAATTGTCTGAGCATTTTAAGATCTCCAAATGCATAATCCATGACTAGCTGATTTAGATTAGACATTCCACTGACCTTGGCATTATGGTTACTGTGATATTACTGTGATACCTGCATTTCTGACAAGATTTGTTTTTAAACAATTTCCAATTTATAATAGGAATACTTAATATTAGATTACCCTCCTCTTTTCGTATTAAAAAAAAAAAAAAAAAAAAAGTTAACAAGAAATATATCTTTTAAAGTCCAGAGGTGGTTTTGTTCATGGGAAGCACGACCTGCACCTGGTGAACAAAGTAGAATTCTGTCATCTCTTGTTGAGTTGTGTTTCAGCATCACGCAGATTTGCTCATTGGTGACCTGGTGTGTTCTAGACCTCTTCTCTTGCTTTAAACATCTTAATCTTCTCACATTCCCATCTTTAAAACAAGGCTAAAAACAAAACAAGCAGGAGTTGTTTTGTTGTCTCTTAGAAATACATCATATTGTGTGAGTTTTTAAAATTCAAGATAAATTTCTACTGCTGTCAAATATATCATTTGACTGTGGTTTGTTTGCTTTCATTCAAGGGATGCTTCTTGCTGGTTTTCTCATCCGAAATACCCCATTTGTTAGTGGCATCGTCCAGATAAATCAGCGTTGGTCTGCAGCACTGAGGAATATTGCTCTTTCAATTATCCTGACCCGAGCAGGACTTGGTCTAGATCCAAAGGTATGGCACCAGCTACTATGTAAGGCAAAGTATAACACTGATTCTGTTAAAAAATGTTGGACTGTTTGGTGTTTAGAAGATTTGAAAATTAGAGCATTACAGAAAGCATAGTTCCTGCTGAATAGTCACATGTTAATCAACGTTGTCAGGTAGATTTGTAGTGTTGGTGAGCTGTCAAAAAAATACCTGAAGAAAACTGATCTTATGACTATGTATCCTCCTTATCTTAAAGAAATTTCCTAAATTTTGTGAGCAGGACATACGAGGATGTGCATTCTATCATAGTCTGTCAGGAAGAGTTTATACTACCTAGCAAAGTCCCTGTAGGTTTTCCGTGACAAACCAAAACAAGTAAGGAAGGGAATCCATATCCCAGAAGGAGAATGCTATTTGTGCTGGCACAAATCAGACAAACAAACAAAAATATTCTTTGTCTTTTTTGCTATTTTATGTTCTGTTTTTATAATCATTGTACAAATGTAAAATGTGTTAATTCTAAAGATGATTCTGGCTGTACCACAGAAGCGGTGCTTCACATCACTCTGAAGCCCGCAACGCTTCTGTGAACAGAATAGTTTTCTCCAACACACTGTAAATTTCATATTCCCTCAGTTAACTATTGTGATGTTTGCTTGATCAAAATCAGCTGTCTGAAATAAAGCTGTACCACACTGACCCCTGTCTAAATGACTGTTTAAAAGCTTGTATAAAATTTAGTGTAGGTATACCTAGCTCAGGTCAATAAATCTAATTTTCATCTTGGGTAAGAAAATCAGAGTGTTTCCAGTTTTCAGATATTTAGGAAAATAGATTTTGTCATTCTTGAACAAACAATTTTTCTAAGTATACTATTTGTCCTTCTTACGAAGGTATCAACACTAGTATTAGCACAGCCTGTGTGTTGTGCCCAGTTCTGTGAGAATGTTTTTATTCCACGTCTTTTTTGGCCAAAGGAACTTCATCTTTGTCTCATTTGTCTCCCACGTGGCAATTGAAGGTGTCATTTGGACTCCATATGTAGCAATGCTTTGATGTGCTTACAGCTGTTCCTTGTGTAACTGAAGCTGTGAAGACAGATGTCAGTTGCTCTAGTGATTCTCAGCCCTAATTATGCTGGGATAAACTGCACTTGTTAAAAACTGCAACTTGTTTTTATCCATATCAAAATGAGGGATTTGTCCTAACAGAATCATGTTTGGGACTAACTGCTAAAAGCTACTTTTACAAGCAAATACTCTCTTTTAGTGAAGCTTCTGGGTAGAAGTTGCAGAGCCAGGTAGAATTTAATCCACTCTGGATATCAAGTGAGAGACAGCTCAAAGCAGTGCATGGCTTCTTTCTCCAACTTTACGTAGCTCAACAATTTTTTCTGATTTGTTGAGACTTTGGAATCATTTCTGGGTTGCTTATGCAACTTGTGGGATGATAGCAAAAACTTCTGTGGATAGTGAAAATTACCTCAAGCAACTGTGGGTGAGATAGCTGTGGTGAGAGTGCAGTTTTCAGATGAACTACAGTTGCTTTAGCCACTCCAGAGCTGTTTGCTCTGCACAAGAAGCCAAAGTGTGTGGGAACCTCATTAAACACAGATTTGTTGGGTTTCACTGCCACATATGCAATTTTATATCCAAATCCACTTCTGCTTGAGCCTATCTCTGGTATAAGCCATGTAAAACTGTCATATCCTGTACTGCAACTTAGAGGGAATTATTTTAATAAATGATGTCAGGTCGTAAAAGTTACTGCTCTGTGTGAAGCCAGAGGTACTGGTACTAATGGCTGAATTTGCTTTTATGTTGTAGGCTCTTAAGAAGCTCAAAGCAGTCTGCTTACGGCTTTCTTTTGGACCATGCCTCTCAGAAACATGCACAGCTGCTGTTTTTGCCTATTTACTCATGCATTTGCCATGGCAATGGGGATTTATATTAGGGTAATGTACCGTCTTTTCTCCTGTATGACTTTTTTGCAACAGCTAGATGATCCAAATGCAGTTAGTTCTCTGCCAAGCAGACACCTCAGTTTTATGTCAGTTAGGAAGTTCTTAGCTCCTGTGGTTGTTTGCTTACCATTCATGTCTGCCTCTGTGGCTAATTTAAAGGTCACATTTCCAGATGTAGAGAAGTATTTGCATCTTTGCTCTTCTCTGATTGTGATCTGGACATAAAGAAGGAAGAAAGATGGTGCAATCCCTGGGTCTTTAGCCACAAGGCAGAGGGCTTTTAGGGACTGAAAATGATACCACAAGTTTGTGCTGGAATGCAGAATTTCCGCTTTGAGAAGTTTGTATAGAACAGTCTTCCTACCACAAGTTGAAAATAAGGACATGGTATGTTACACTGTGGACTAACACCCTTGAAGAGGAAACTTTTCCCATCTAGGTTCTATCTAAACTGGTGGACTCAGTTCCAAAAGGAACTGAGAAGGAGATAGAAGGAGATAAATGAACTTCTCTCCTGTCACACTGAGTAGGAATCCACAAGTCATGAGCATCTAGACCAGGTTCCTAAAGTGGATAATCAAGGCATGTATCAGCGAGAACTGGCCTGCAGTGTAGAGGCAAGTCTTAGTCTGTGGAGCCCTTGATTTTTAGTATTATTGAGGTGAACAGGAAGTAAGAGGTAATTGTGGATCTGCAGGGAAATATCCATGCTTTTAATTAGCAAGGAGAGGTAAGGATGATATTTTATGCACAGGTCTGTGTACTTAAAATTTAGAAGAAGAGAGATAATGTTTTGAAGCTTTTTAGTTTAGTGCTTGCTATTTAAGAGAGGCTGAAACCCTGCATTTTCAGTTTTGTTCTAGGTGCAGTCTCTCCTGCTGTTGTAGTTCCCTCAATGCTGATCTTACAAGCTGGGGGATATGGAGTGGAGAAAGGTGTCCCAACTTTGCTAATGGCAGCTGGAAGCATTGACGACATTCTTGCTATTACAGGCTTCAACACTTGCCTTGGGATGGCTTTCTCTTCTGGTATGCTAATCTGTAGGTGGTGACAACCAGAACAAACTGTGATATTTTGAGGAATGTATGCTTTGTTATGATTGACTGGTTTGTATCTTGATGACAGCTCCTCATGAAGTTTAGATATGGAGTTGAGTACGGATAGAGAAGTTACCCATGATCAAAAGTGTTGGTATAACTTCATTTACTCTGAAAAAATAAAAACCCTGTTCTCTGAAAGCTTTGTGAGTCACAGCTTTCAGAGAACATGGTTGTTATTTTTTCCGTGACTGCCATGTCCAGCTCCCTTGTGCCCAGTATAAATGGTCTCAAATATCCCTTTGGTTTGACAGTGCTCTAGCAGTGCACTGTCTGAAGTTCTCTGACTTCCTGGGCATGCTTTCTTGGCATTAGCAAAGAGCTATCAAAATTAGCCCTATCAGTTCTTTCAGGCTCATTGGTTCTCTCCTGAGCCCCTTCCCTTGTGTAATTTAGAGCAGAGACTGTACTGGAATCATTCTCATAGATATACAGCATGGTTTGTGAGTGAAGGTTCTGCTTTGGGGTAACTGAATGCACTTCTCTTTTGCCAAATAGGTTCTACTCTGTACAATGTGCTCCAAGGAGTGCTGGAGGTTGCTGTTGGCATAGCAGCTGGTGGGATTCTGGGAGTCTTTGTTCGGTATTTCCCAAGCCATGATCAGGTTAAAAAAAAAAAAAGAAGTTTTTTTTTAAAAGTTGCATTATGTAAGATATTCTTTGTTTATGAATGCCATTTTTATATTATTCATTTTCAAACTTCGTATGACAGCTTTTGAGAGAAAGCAGTGTGCAGCTCGAACAACTTCTAGATAGCAAAGCCTACAAAGCAAGGAAGTGTTTTAAGGATGATTGTGTACTGCAACAATAACAGTGTATGATCTCACAGTCCTTCCTGATGGAGAGTCCGGAACCCAGTTCACAATCCTGTACCCACAAGTGGTGGAGGTGTTGGAAATGCTCACATGGAAAGGGAAAAGGATCTGATGCCTATTCAGTAGTATGAGTAGAATAATAATTGATTGAATTGATGTGCAACATATTTACCTCCACTCATTTTTAATCTTTAAGCCTACTGGAAACCTCTTAGAAATGTGCAGATCACACACGCTTGGGCATATTATCAACACTAATTAGAATGATGCTTTCATTAATAATTAAGCTTATATAAAGTGGTAGATGAATTTACTATCAAGGGTAACTACACAGACAAAATTGTAGAAGAAAACATATAGTCTGGATACTGAAATCAATTTGAACAACAGCTATTGCCATCAGTGGCACCAAATTTTCTTATTAAATAACATAGACAACGCAGCTCAGAAATCAACTGATAACTAGACGTGGGGAACAATTACAGAGAGAGAACTACTGTGAAACTGCCTTTGTCCTTAAAAACACTTTGTGGCAATGATTTAACTCCTTGGATAAGCTCCGTCTCTTCACGGTAGAGGTCTTCTTATCATAGCTTAGAAGCTGGAAGGTTAGAATAGAGCATCATATTCCTTGTTATGCAAAAAGTGTTTTGGCAGTAAGATTTTGGATGGGCAAGGAAAAGAAATATTGACATTTCAGAACTATATATTGCTAGGAATTAGTGTCCCAAAGAATTCCGTAACTCAACTGCATAGTTCAAGTCTCAAACAAAAGTTTTGATTCCTTCACAACAGTACCCTCTGTTACCTTCAAATTTGTAGATGTAAACATTCTCCATTTTCAAAAATAAACTTAATTTTTTGTTTGTTTCTTTCTTTCTTTGCTTGCAGGCATCTCTGTCTTGGAAGAGATCATATTTTGTACTTGGGCTGTCCATGTTTGCTGTTTTTGGCAGTGTCTATTTTGGCTTCCCTGGATCAGGAGGGCTCTGCACATTAGTCTTAGCTTTTATTGCCGGCATGGGATGGTCTGATGAAAAGGTGAATGTTTATGCACACCATACCAGAACTCCTTTGAATACACAGCTTAGCAGAAGTTTGGATTTCCATCAGGAGTGGCACTGGCCCATTTATGTAGATTCATGGGAAGAACAGATTATGAAAATAAATGTAGAACTTTTCTTAATCTTTGTGTAATAGAAAGTCACCATGTATGTGGATGAGGTAATGTTATACTGACAGTAAAATGCTCACGAGCTTCTCTTGAACATCAGTGCAATACCTTTTAAGCCCTGTGGAGGAAGGTTAGTTGTCATGGCTCTTGACGAGGAATCTAAAGCTTTGTCCCAGCTCTGTGACAGTCTCTGTAACCTTACACAGTCATTTAAAGGTAAGTTTTAATAATAGATGTCTGGATACAGTTGTGCACATGGCCTCAATATCCTGAGCTTTTTGTTCCCTGTGATTTTTAGGGGGTGAAATGGAAAGTAGTAATTAACCATTTCATTGCCTTCTCCAAATCGTAGCAAGTATATTCTGCATAACTGGAGAGCAGGGTGCCCACACTAAGTGGTTTTACAAAGCCATACAGAAACCATACAAAAGACTAAGCCACTTTCTTTTAGCTATGAAGCCTGTTTCTTCTTACTACTTTTGCCCTGCTGATTTTCTGTATCTTGGTATGTCTCACTGCCACTTTTGCTTGATACCACCTGCACTTAATGTTTGAGGGCATTTTTTCTTTCCGTATCTGTAGACTTGCAACATGCAGTAAGAGAAGGGGAGGAGAAAGGAAAGAGGATTGGATATATTATTATCCCCATCTAGAACCTGACCTCAGTAAGATCTCAATTTGTTAAAATAATAAATAAGAAACCTAGTTTCTATTTAAAATACTACATTGTTGTCCAGTTTTAAAAGAAGGGAAACTTGAGACTTTAAGTAGTTAAAAACTTTAAAGCTCATAAAGCTCACTGTTGAAGGAGAGTCCTTACAAAAGCATATGCAGTCTGTAACTACTTACTTAGTTTAAATTCTTTTGATCAGTAGGAGAGGCTGCTTGATGATGATTTCAAACACCTTAGCTCTTTTTATCAGTTGCAGCCAGAGAGATCTGCTTACTGAATACTCAGTGTTACCAAGATTTTCCTGCAGAGCCTCACAAAGGCCACTGGTGCTGTCTCTGGTGGAAGTGAACAAATAGCATCAGCAGAGAACAAGGGACATTGTACCTGTTGCTGAAGTAGTTAAATGAGCAGTAAACATCTGGAAAGAATATATATATATTTTTTTTTTTCAAAGAAAGCAGAGTAAGTTAGCAGGGAGAAGTGAGGCAAATAAAAAAGTTTACAGGTCAGTGTGTTTCCACCTCATTCTCTTTAAGGTTACATAAGGCTTTGTATTGCAGTTATCTCACTGTTGCGTTGATAGAAGAGCCAGAGATGCTGCCATGTTGAATGGTCACTCCCAGAGAGAATGTGAGGGACAGGACACGTCTGGACTTCACATCCTCACACACTGCAGCCTGCATGTTCATCTGCTATTGCTATTGCAGAACTCACTTCATTTAAAAAGTGCTGTTAGAGATGCTACATGTACCTCTTCAACTAAGTGGAAGATTCCTGTTTACTTTGGCAGCAGGTTGCTTTAGGAAAAGTGTGAAGTGTAAAATTCAAGCACAAGGAGAAAAGATAGTTTTGCAGTCATATAGTAATCACACAGAGACATACAGCATTTTTCACTAGTAAGGGATTTCATGCTTACTCAATCTAGCTTTGCTCCTGCTCATGTGGAAATCAGTTTCTACCTGAGTGTGGTGCAAGTAGACATTACTGAAACTTTTCAGGATCTGATTCTGTTCAAGTATAAATGAAACAAGCCTGAGCATGCAGTTCCCAAAAGCTAAGCAGTTTCATTGCAAAACTTTCGAAATTGCATCTTCCTGAATAGTGAAAATCAACTGTGTTTTATTTTCATTCTCTAAGCTACAGATTGCTTTAGTATTAGATCAAAGTTCACCATAAACTAGGAGTCTAAAAAATAATTCTGGAATGTATTGATGATAAGATTTCATTTTGTCCTTTGATTAATTAAATGTGTCTGCTTTGGTTGTTGCTGATTGGGTTGTTTGTGTGTGTGTGTGAATTGATGGATTTTTTTTGTTATTACTATTGCAGAGGGAAGTAGAAAAAATTGTTGCCGTTGCTTGGAATATCTTTCAACCTTTTCTTTTTGGTTTGATTGGAGCAGAAGTATCTGTTACATCTCTCAGGCCTGAAACTGTTGGTAAGATCTGTCATTAGTTATCCAATTTCATTTCTAGCTTCCAAAGAATCTCCAGAAAGAAATCTTAAGTAAAGCAGTATATGGCTGACAAAAAACAACATACTGAAATCACTGTAAAGCTGTGATTTTTAGAAGGCTTATTTCTCTCAGGCACCTATGCACAAAAACAGTGAGAAGTATTTGTCTTTGTTTCAGGGCTCTGTGTTGCTACACTAGGTATTGCCCTAGTTGTGCGAATCATTGCGACGTTCCTGATGGTGTGTTTTGCTGGGTTTAATTTCAAGGAGAAAGTATTTGTCTCATTGGCGTGGATTCCCAAAGCCACTGTCCAGGTAAAACAGCCCAACATCATTTTCATTCCAGGCTAGATCTATAGTCTTTAGCAAAGTTCTTCTTCACTAGCACAGCCTTAAACAGGGAGAGGATTGGGTCCCTGTTAACAGTAGAGTGCAGTATGTGGACAGTTCATATTCTGAATTGCCCTGCCTTAAGTCTGCTTGAAAAGGGCAAGGGGGACCTGCCATGTGAGGGTTCTTAGCTTGCATCCTAAATCGTACTCTCAGTAATAATGGTGAATGTACATATAAATACTTAATCACAGAATAACTATTTATCAGTTTCTGCAGATTATTGTGCCTTTCCATACAGATTTTGACAACTCCTAAAGTGTTTCTCTTTAATACCACATAAAGTGTTCGCCAACACAGTTGCACTTGAGGCTCAGAATGGGTTTTTATTTCATGATTGTTTTAATAATGGCTGACCTGACAAGCTTATTGCTAGAGAAGCCTCAGGCTGGTTGCATTCTTGCTCAGTGATTGTTACATCACCTGGACTTTGCCTCAAAAGCATGGTTATTTCTAAGCAGAAGTTAGTAATTGGAACAGGCAGGGATTACTGCAAGAATTGTGAACTAATCTTTGCAAAAGTACTGTTCATTGACTGCTGTCAGGACACGTTCTCAAGGTATGGGATTTTAACAGCTCCAATATGCAGTGTGCTGGCCTATTTCATTAATTACATGTTCTCCAGAAATGGATAACATGTCAGCTAAGCCACACTCCTCACTGGAGGAAACCACTCAGATTAACTCACTGGCCTAGGAAATTCAGAATAGCCAAGTGAAAACTGTTCATATAGGGCTGATAGAACCCTTACTTTTTTTGTGTACTGCCTAGAAACTAAGGAGCTTGAATGTATTACAGATTTTGAATTTATGTTAAGCGTAGACTGATGATTAGTCCCTTTTTTTTCCTGTTTCACTGAGAAAGATTCCTTCCTCCATTTCAGCAATTCTTTCTCTCCTGTAGGCTGCAATAGGTTCCCTTGCCCTGGATACAGCAAGAAGTCATCAGGATGAGCAACTGGAAAAGTATGGAATGGATGTACTAACAGTAGCTTTCTTGGCTATCTTGATCACTGCTCCCATTGGAGCCTTGGTTATTGGCTTGGCAGGGCCCAGACTTCTGCAGAAGGCTCAGACAAAACATGAGGAAAATGAGGAAGGTGCTGAGGCTGGAGAAGAGCCAGAGGATTGTGAGCCTTCATAAGACAAGCATTTACGGGAACGTGGTCCTTCAGCCCTTACACTTCTGTTAAGTAAACATTTTGTGTCTGTAATCTTTCTGGACAGAACTGAAACAAGTATTGGATATACTGTTATTTTAAAAGCAGGTCTGGTGGAGTTTTACAAAATATTTTTATGTGTTGATGGTGCCTTAAGAGATGAACTAGGTAAACATACAGCAAATAGGCTGACCAGGCAGTGAGTCACTCTGAAGTTAGCAGTCATCAGTTACTAAAAACGTGTGGGTGTGAGGCCAGGGAGAGGATCAGAATTGTTCAGGCATGGAATGGATCATTAGGTGGATGAACAAAAGAAAGTGGAGACTGATGTGATAGCTTCTTGATGGATAAAACTGGACTGTATGATGGCAAGTTCAGCAGCTCAAAGAATGCAACAACTGAATTAGGACTATTGACACACAGTGAACAAATCCTGCCACAGACCGATGGTTCCCTCTCCTTCCTCATTCAGTTTTGGAAACCTGCCTTTTTCCATTGCTGTTCTTTCACACGTCTCATACATACCTTTGTACCTTCAAGGGACTGTCAGCTCTGGTCATGGCAAGAAGCAGCAAGCAGTGCTTATGTGCTGAAAGAGACAGGTCCAGTGAGGCTGTGGTAATAAAGGAGTACCTGGTGAAAAGGACCAAGCTTGAAAATGGGATGAAAGAGGCTGTAATGACTGAGAGAAAGTTACATGGGATTGGGATGGCTGCTTCCTGGCATGTATATTTCAGCCTTTGTGCAACTCTGTGTCAAGCAAGTGAAAGCCAGCTTGTCAGCCGCTGGGAGTGTGTGCTCTAGGACAGGAGAGAGCTCCCCTCAGATGGAGCTTGCTGGCGTGGCAATGCCAAGGTAGCAACGAGTTGTTTCTTTCTTCCTCAGCTCCTTTTGGGAAACCTGACAGTAGTGACAGACCTCAAATCAGGATTTATGGGTCAACAGGTATCTCTTGTTCTAAGTTTATACTCATGTCTGTGAAAATGCTATGATCTGGTCCTTCACACATCTGCATTTGCTTAACTGTAGCAAAATAAAACAGGTATTTACTAAAACCTATCAAGTTAATGGTCATTTTTCCAAGAGGTAAATGGTTGTTTTGTAGATTGGAGGCCTCTTAGATTTGGCAAGGTCTTTTTACTCTGATCAATAGAGAAACAGAATTTAAATGAAGAACCAGGGGAAAGCATCACTGAGAGGCATGTTACAAAGGGAAAGGAACCCTACCACACCTTCCTCCAGAAGGAATGACGTGCTGTCATGAGGAAGCAGTGACCATGTACCCACCACTTGTGTGGGTCTTTCTAGAGGCACAAGTTGCATACTGGATCACAGTAATGACTGGCAACACTCATCTGGAATCTCTTGCCAAAATATTTTACTGGAGAAGCAAAAAGTCCAGATGTTTTTTGGTGGGTTTTTCTTTGTTTAATATTGATGCCTTCTGCACAGTCAGTATAGTATAGTTCATATTTGATCTTCTCATATAACCTGTTACCTTTCTCTTCTCCTTGACTTTCCAAAAGTCAAGAACAAACCGTTGTTGAAGAAAACCCTGCTCTTGCCTTTAGCTTTGGTACCAGTTAGGGTTTAGCATTGGCTGTTACAGATATTGTTTAATCTTTCTTGCTCTGCTACATTTTGGGTGAGTAACTAGCTCTACATAGGTCAGTCACTGCTTTCTGAATCATGAAATCAGTCCAGCATCCTTCAGAAACTGAGTTTTATTTAGTTATTTTTAGAAACACAGATTTGAGATCTAGGAGGACAGTGGCTACCCACAGAGTTCTACAGTACTGTTCATTGAGATTGTTTCACAGAATACTATTCAGAATGTATTTGATGTGTCCATATATTTTGGTTTCTCTAAGTAAGCATTATACAATTCTGTTTTAGCTCCTGTATTTTATTCTGCAACATAAACAGAAAATACAGAATCACAGGGTTGGAAGGGACCTCAAGAATCATGAATCTCCAACCCCTCTGCCACATGCAGGGCCACCAACCTCCACATTCAATACCAGACCAGACTGCCCAGGGCCCCATCCAATCTGGCCTTGAACACCTCCAGGGACGGGGCATCCACAACCTCTCTGGGCAGCCTGTTTCAGCACCTCACCACTCTCTCTGTAAAGAACTTCCCCCTGACATCCAACCTAAATCTCTCTCAACTTAAAACCATTTCCCCTTGTCCTGCAGTTATCTACCCTTTCAAAGAGTTGATTTCTCTCCTGTTTGTAGGCTCCTGTAGGCTCCCTTCGGGTATTGAAAGGCTGCAATGAGGTCACCCTGCAGCCTTCATTTCTCCAGGCTGAACAAGCCCAGCTCCCTCAGCCTGTCTTTGTAGGGGAGGTGCTCCAGTCCCCTGATCATCTTCGTGGCCCTCCTCTGGATCCTCTCTAACAGCTCCCTGTCTTCTTTGTACTGGGGGCTCCAGACCTGGACGCAGTATTCCAGATGGGGCCTCGCAGAGTAAAGGGGAACAATCACCTCCCTGTCCCTGCTGACCGCCCCTCTTTTGATGGAGCCCAGGATACCATTTGCCTTCCAAGCAGCAAGGGCACACTGCTGGCTCATGTTAAGTTTTTCATCTATCAAGACCCCTGGGTCCTTCTCTGCAGGGCTGCTCTGCTATCTCCTTAAATACCTTTAAAGGAAAACTGTATGTACCTGTATTATTTGGAGTGCGTGTGTTATGTCTCTGTATACGCATAATAATCAGTATGTGTGCCTTTTCATATGACTAGTTCTAGCAAAAAAGCAAAGTTCTTAAAAATATTTAATGTTTGTGGCCTGCAGTTCCAGCACAGTGATAAACACCAGGAAATTCTTGGGTAAGTCTTCCCCTGACAGCTGTGAAGTATGATTATTATTTCATTTTCTCCAGGCTTCCTTACCATATGTGCTGCTGTTCTCTCCACTTTTAGGGAACATACAGTCTTCAGTTGATGCCTGTTCCCTGACAGGAGGGAAAGGTGCTCTCAAACTGTACAGATCGATGAACAGTTCCAGTGCTGTACGAGATGGCTACTGTGTCAGGTGCTGACTTCTGTGTGCCTCCTGCCTATTGCGCATGGCTCATTAAGGTACTCAGTTGCTTGAAGAAGGCGTTTTATAAGGAGCTTACTGTATTTAGAAAGTATAGTATGTGCAGACCTAATTGGTAAAGTGAAGGAATATGCTGTTCAGTTCATTAGTAGCTGCTCATAAAATAATACACTCTATGTGATTAAAATGTAGAGGAGAAGCTGTATATATTTTGGTTTATTTACAAAGTTTTATAAAAAATAAAAACTCTCCTTCAAGGAGCGATCACTGCACCATGTTTGGAATGTGTTCAGTTACGGTGTAAACATTATAGCCCTTTAAATTTGAACACAATCATCAACATGCAAGCCTCTGACAAACGGCCTTGCTCATGGTGTCCTCTAATGCTTGCTCACCATCCTAACAGCATCTCATAAATTGGCTCTATCATGTTCCCTTAATCTTAGTTCACTCTCAATTTAGTCATCAGGATCACCCCCCCATCATTCTACACCCTGAATAGCTGCACTGATTCAACTGTAGTTTTGTCTCATAAATCGAATTCAATTTTCCCTTCCTCACCACTGAGTGTATTTGTCACAGGGCCCCTTTCCCTAAGCCTTTATTAAGTTGAGAATAAGAATCACATTGAAGCTATTGAGTCCTGCATACCTAAAATGAACAGCATTGATGCTTTATAATGCTTCTCGCCTTCTAGAAAGGAACAAAACACATCTTGTCATGAGAAGAAATGTTATAGCAGGGCTGAGACATTGTAAATAAGTACTGAAACAACTTCAGCTGCTTTTAAATAGCAGTTAATTGAAAGAGTTTGCAGAGGTGAAGTCATGACAACTAAGGCCCCCTCCCTTTGAACTAAATGCCATGAAATCATTCATGAATAATGCATAGGTTCAAGCTAATAAAATCTTTATGCCATGCCAAACAGTCTCTTTTTTGGAGGAACTAAAATTAGTGTGCAACATGCAGTAAACTGTAACTGGGGGAGTCCCACTGTCATGCAGACATAAGCACAAGTGCAAGGTGGAGAGTACTGAGAACTGCATGCATGTGCAGTTCCAGAAGGTTCAGAAGAGCCTCAGCAGCAGAACAGCCTGACAGCACAGCACAGCCCTGGTGGCACACAGCAGGCAGAGATAGAGCGGGCAGCATATGAGTAAAGTCAGAAAGGGGCCATCTGGAAGCAGGAAGTAGCATGAGCCAGGGATGAAATAACAATGTAATTATAATCACTGTATTCTCTTCCTTTTTCAGCTAAATTGAACATTCTGGAAAATTCAGATGACGTCTAGAATTGTGAAACGCTCAGGCTTTAGTATGGCCACAAAACAGTAAATGGTAGTCTTTGCATTTTAAATGGAGTCCAAGAAGTGAAATTTTGGTGCTTCAATCACATTTGCTTTGTCTAATAGTTGACAGAAGTCAGTCATCTTTATCTAAATATATTTGTTTTGCAGGTTTATTTGTAGTTTATTACAATGATTGTTCAAATTCATAGTGGAAAGAGAGGTCATTACTATTGTTCTCATAGAGTAAGGCATCATGGTATGACATGCCCTGTCATGCTTTCCCTGACTTTGCATCAAGACAGTCTGGTCTGGTCTACCACCTGTGTCCTGGTATTTATCCCTGCTATTATCCCATTGTGTGGAGCTTCCAACTAAGGGTAGAAAAGTCACCCAGTGCCAAGAGAGCTTAGCACACCTTAGTAGGTAATGCGTTCAACTCTATCATTGCTGAGACAGAGGGCTACAGACATTTCAGTCCTTAGCTTAACTCACAGACTTTAGAGAGAGAATCTGAACAGATAAGTAAGTTATGAGGCTGGGTGGTGTTTTTCTTCTGCTGCAAAGACTTGCATTTAGAGCACAAGCAATTTTTTTTTTTTGCATCTGTCTTCCAAAGGACATCATGTTAAATTAAGAGTGAAACTTCTTGCATTTGGCTTGCAGATGAAGAATCCAAATTGCAAACAGCACAGGCTCAGATAAGCCAATCCTATCTGGTGCTGTGAACTCAGCAGTCCAAGAAAATTTCATTTACTTGGTGAGTGCAGGTACAGACGCCTGACTTCCATGGATGCTTGAAATCAGAGAGGATAGTAAAGGCTCCAGTATCCTCCTTCATCTTGGGATGCATTTTGCTACCCTTCTCAGACTGATGGGATGTGAATCCACTACACAGCTTTTTTACCTGGCAGGTAGGCTGAAACAAAATTCTTACTTTAATAAATAAAAGCAGAACAATTCTTGGTTTGAAATTCCTACAGCCAAGACACTACAGCCAGTGTTGTTAAGCTGCTGTTTACTTCAGTTTTATACCTGTACTTTTACAAGCAGCAATTACAGAAAATGAAGGGATTTTTAATGCCAAGTGTATGAAAATTACCCTACAAGAATGCACAATCCCCTTGTTAAGGCTCTTTGCTGCACCTAACTAAGGCCTGCTCCAACACCACCATGAAGATGGGATTCACCTTGACTTTAACTGTGGCCACATGAGGCAGTTTTCCCTTCACAGATTCATTTTGAAATGCAGGGAAATAGTAAAAAAAAAAAAAAATTGTAAGCAAGATAGATGATGATCTTGTAGAAATAAATAAGATGTCCTTTCTAAAAAGGAACAGTGAGCACTGTTGTTTCTATACTATACTTCATGTAAGTTCCATTCCTATAGAGACATAAGCAAATACAAACCAAACACCATGTGTTTCTGTAGCCGCAGTTGCAGGTAGTTTAGCAGTAGTTTCATCAAACTGAAAGCAGGGGAAAAACAAATTGTGTGAGAGGTGGAGTCAAGAGGCTAAACATTACATTGTCATTCTTTTTAAAGGAGATTTGTGGGAGAAAAATCACTGCTCCTGTACCACTTACCCTAACAGCATTTGTTTAAGTGGAACAACAGAAAAGAGGATTGCTGTACACAGAAAGAAGTGAAATTATTTGAATGTGAGAGTATCCTGATAGAAGCTGGAAGTACATAAAGACTCATGTAGAATAACTGCTGTAATGGGCTGTGAGTTTTTCTATTTCACCTGGCATTTTTTCCATCAAACGCAAGAATTGAACTTAGCATTCAGTATACCGCATCTAAGAGTGAAAACAGAGTATAATACAAGATATTTACATTACTGTTCTTCCTCTATAAGTGTTAGATCCTAATACAATAGTGTCTACAGGCTGCTTTCATCCATTAGGATGAGGTTCCCATGAAACATTTAAATAAGGATAGATTTTACTGTGGTTTCAGTACACTTTGTAAAAAGCAGTCATTTAACCCACAGTCACATCCTAATCTGTCACAGTTTGTTGTGTGGCAAGAGCTTTTAGCACCTAGAACCACACCTGTTAAAAATGCAGGGACTGTCTCTGCTAGTTCCACTGCTGTTTTGACAGCCACTGTATGAGAACTGTTTCCTGACTCACTTTTTGTTTCAGCACTGGGGTGATAAGCTTTGACAACAGTATGCTGCTGTGGGGCTTCCCCTTTTAACTAAGAACAGGTCAAATGAAATGCTTGTTAAAGAATAGTCAAGATCTTCCCTTCAGACAATTGTCTAAAATTGGGGCATGCATCTAAAGTTCTACTTTTAAACAAGCAGTCTTTCATTAAAGAATAAAGCACATTAGAAGAATAAGTGTGGAGTCTAACAGCTGAATAAGTAGCAATTATTTACCTATAACTGAAGTTAAGCCATACCACAGCAAAGTTCTGACTTGCCCTACTAATGAGTCAGTAACAAGCCAAGAACACAGTTTTACTTCTTTCTTGGTTCTGTCATTTAGCCAATTCCTCCTATGACTGTCCCTGCTAAAAGAAATAGCATCTGCAGTGCAAGTGAACTTTCAAAGAGCTTCCTTACATGCGCATGAATGACGAATGGACCCAGAATAAA